ACAGCCATGGCGGACCTCGTGAGTGACGACACACGTGATAAAACCTACGACGATATCCCAGGCCTCCAACCATGGATGCTCCAGCAGCTCAAATATCTTAGTAAGTCGGAGTTGTGAGTCTTGGTTTTATATATTCATATTGGTGTAAATCATATCACATAACCACAGTTGCAACACAGGACTGGAACACCTTTATGACAACACTTCTGGCAGAATCACACAGCTGACACGATGTTAACCCTAATGTCTTCAGCACTCAAAGACGAAAATGTTGCATACCAAAGAGCCTCAGACTACGAAAGCCACCACGCTATCACAGAGTCTACCTACCACATTTCAAACAATTGCAGATTATGAGGAATTGATAGCAAGTGTGACCTCACCTGATTTCACCTTTCCTTGAGTATTGGGGAAAAATGTCAGGACAATATGTAGTATAAGGTAGTGGCAGAGTTGGGTAATAAAACCTACATGAAATGATAGAACAATACAAACCAAGACAAAGTTCTATAGCAATATGTGTGCAAATGTTTCCCAATTGTGCTAGGTATATATATTACCCTGGGGGTCCAGGGGGCAGAGGCCCCTGCCTAGAGAATAAATACCACGGCGTTAGGTTAGGTTGTATGTTGGGTTAGGTCGTCCATTTGCACAAGGAACAATGCCTAGAGTCGTTGAAAGCAGTGGATTTCATGCAGAAAAATATCAAAATTGTTTCGAAAATAACCCATCTTCTTCCCTTTTCTTTTACGTATATCAGCCTTGGGAAGCATTAGCACACATATTGCCATAGAAGAACTTTGTCTTGGTTTGTATTGTTGTATCATTTCATGTAGGTTTTATTACCCAACTCTGCCACTACCTTATACTACATATTGACCAAATGTCAATAGCAGTGCTACTGTTATTTTGAATATCATGATTTTTGTTATGTTTGTAAACATTCAGAATACTTTTGTATCGGCAATTACTACGATATTGGTATTAATGAATTCCTCTTACTTGCTAGTACACAAATATATATCAGTTGTTCCACAGACCCCCCCCCCCATATCTACAATATTGTCCCCAATAGTATATTGTCAAAAGCAGTGAGCAGTGCCCCTTCAACCCCTTCCCATGTGGGCCATATGCTTTACCCTGCAATAGAGGATTCTTTGTCTTCCATTGCAGGGTCCACAGCCCCCTGCACTAGACAGTATGGTGATATATTCAGTGAATGTTATTCATGATTTATCCCGTAGTTTCCCTGGTACCTTTCATGCCCTCACCTGCTATCAGGACCTAGAATGTGGAAGTTGGGCAGATGTCCTACATATATGGTTAGTAGTGGGTGAGAGGAATCCATTGATACCAATATCATCATGATTGGGTCATGCGAAGGTATTAGCTTAATGTTATTGACATTAATAAATAGCAGTAAAAGATTTTAAAAAATCCATATATCAATGAAAAGAGTACATAGGCAGATAGATAATACAGGTAATTGATAATTGATAAAGTAAACGCACAGAGGGCATGGTACGTACGTGCTATCCTTAGTTTCAGTGGCTAACAAGTTTGAGATATTCATATGCATTGGAATGAAATACCAGAAAACAGCAGACCACCTAAATAGCAGCTTATTATAGTATGGTAGAAGTAGTGTACCATGGCTATATTGGTTATTTTAAGGGTATTATTGTTATATAGAATATAATTTTTTTTATAAAGGAATAAGCTGGCACTAGCAATTTTTCTTTATTTCTACCTTGGTAGAAAAATAGTGCCGCTAGATAAATTGGTGTAATTTACAATTTTTTTGAAGAGTAAGTTTTGAACTGAAAAGAACAAATTTCAAATTTAAAAAGGTTTTTTCTTGAAATTTTTCAAAACATATTAGAATTATTTCTAATGTAATGAGTTATTTCTTTGGGAATGTTTCTCATAAGATACTTAAATTTATAGGATTAATTTTTATTTCTTCTATCGTTAATTTTTTTTTCTTCTTTTTCCAGAAATTTTGAGACCAACTCCAATCCAGTACCATTGTATACCACCTGCTATTGAGGGCCATGATATCATTGGAGCTGCCAAGACTGGATCAGGAAAGACACTGGCTTTTGTGATCCCTATTCTCCAGAAACTGTCTGTTGATCCATATGGCATTTATGCATTGGTTCTAACACCAACTAGAGAACTTGCTTACCAGGTATGTTCATCATGTGAGAGACAGACAGGCACACACAAACACACGTACATGCACGCACGCACGCACGCACTCACTCACTCACTCACTCACTCACTCACTCACTCACTCACTCACTCACCCACCCACTCACCCACTCACCCACTCACCCACTCACCCACTCACCCACTCACCCACTCACTCACCCACTCACTCACTCACCCACTCACCCACTCACCCACCCACTCACCCACTCACCCACTCACCCACCCACTCACCCACCCACTCACCCACCCACTCACCCACTCACTCACTCACTCACTCACCCACTCACCCACTCACCCACCCACTCACTCACTCACTCACCCACTCACTCACTCACTCACCCACTCACCCACCCACTCACCCACTCACCCACTCACCCACCCACTCACTCACTCACTCACCCACTCACCCACTCACCCACCCACTCACCCACTCACTCACTCACTCACTCACTCACTCACTCACCCACTCACCCACCCACTCACTCACTCACACACACACACACACACACACACGCACACACACACACACACACACACACACACACACACACACACACACACACACACACACACAACCAACTGATCACAACATAACTAAATCTACTACTTGTTTATTTCTAGCACCTTTTTTGCAGTACATATGTGGAATTCCAAAGGTGGTTATTTATTTATTTTCAAATAAATCTAACTAGCATTAGTATCATAGTACCAGTATATTTTTTTCTTCCACAAAATTGATTTTAAGAGAGTCATTTAAAGTTTCACGGCTATAGGAACAAACTGTAAAAACAAGAATAGAGTGTTTTCCTCAGTGATAGTCTCCTTTCAGTTAACCCATTACTGTTAGGAACATGTAATATTTACTCATTATGTGAAATGTGTTTATGCATGTTTACACTCTTTTAATGGCAGGTTCGTATAGCATTTAGTTATGTCATTATTTATGGGAGGTGATTATTATGTAGATTTGCAGTATATACAATTTTTTAATACAATCAATAATCCTTTTATTTTCAAATTAGGCAAATTCGCACTTGTGCTTTTAGTGATCCAACTTCCTGTCCTTGCAGATAGCAGACCAATTCAAAGGTCTGGGAGGTCCTGTCTCTCTAAAAATATCTGTGATTGTGGGAGGTATAGACAGGTTGACACAGTGTAAGGAACTCAGCAAATCCCCTCATGTGGTAGTGGCCACACCTGGAAGACTGGCAGATATACTGGATAGTGCGCCTGAATTTACACTCAAGAGGTAAGGAAGATGTGATTTTTCTTACTTTTCAGAAAGCAAAGATACCCTATCTCTCCTTCAGACTTAAAGATCATCTGCATTCATGAGAATAGCTGTTGAGTACATCTTGCCCATCTCCCAATGCAGCCAGTTTTCTTCTTTTCAGAATAAAGTTCCTGGTTCTGGATGAAGCTGACCGTCTCATGGATGGCAGGTTTGACGAGCAGATCCAGACAATCTGGTCATCACTTCCTGAAAGAAGACAGACACTTCTGTTCTCAGCAACAATTACAGACAGATTGCAGAAAATGAAAGACTTAGCTTCTTCAAAGGTGAAGCTTGGGGTTGGATCCAAATGCTTTGCTATCTGCGCATGGCCCATAATCCAGACATTGGGGTTGCTTGATTGGTGCCTCTATACTGGGTGTGTGGCGTGTAGATGGGTGCACATGAACACTCATGTGTGGTGTTAGGACTCTTTGCCTTTTAAATATTTTCATTATATTCAGTTATCTGAAATACTCTCTGGGGAGGAATAGGATCCTGAGGATGAAAATAATGTCATCCCTAGAGCCAGCACTTCCAGTAATGGCTTACAGATGGTGCATCCATGCTCATTTACCAAAGTATATTATACAAGAGCCCCTTCCTGACTGCCCACTGAGTCTAATCATCCTCCAAGAGCTTTGTACATTTGTGATGTCATTTCCGTCATCTCATCCTCCAACTGAAATTCTCATGTTCCATCACCCTAGCCATTGAGCTGATTTTTCTACGACAGCAAATTTACGTCACTCAGACATAAAGCCAAATTTTTTCATGACATGATGATTACATCATCCAGATTCAAGGGATTAATACTTAGGTTTTAGAATTAATATGAGTTGTATTGTGATTGATTTTGACTTTATTTGGTATAATACCTTGCAGTTATATTTTATCTTTAACATCAGTGAGCCTTTGACATACCAGTGATAGCAGATCATGAGAGAATAGTAGAGAGAAACAAACCTGAGAATACATAGGTACCATCACTCTTATTTAGAAACTTCTCTCTTTCACCAGGTATTCCTCTGGCAGACAAGTGCAAAGAATGACCAAGCCACTGTGCAGCAGTTGGATGAGCGCTATTGCCTTGTTAGCCCTGTCTCAAAAGATGCCACAATGGTTGCCTTGTTGTTGGAATTCTCTGAGAAAAATCCTAGAGGACTAATTATAGTGTTCACAGATACCTGTAAAAGCACACAGGTAAGTACATTGAAAGGTGAATACTGTATTGTCATTATTAACAAGATTTGCATACTCTGTATTAGGTCATCAAAATTCACATAAAGATCAAAGAAGTTGCATCACCATTCAGAACAGAATATGCATATATTACAAAATTCCCTATTTTCAAGGAAACTGTCTTCAACTTAATTTCCAACCTGTCGTCACTAAATTTCACTTTCTGTCACAGATATTGAACATGATGCTGAACAAACTAGGAGTGCAGTCTGTCTGTATCCACTCCATGCTCACACAAAAGGAGCGTCTGGCTGCCCTCGCCAGGTTCAAATCATCTCAAGTGAAGATCCTCATTGCCACTGACCTCGCTAGCAGAGGCCTTGACATTCCTTTGGTAAGTTAGGATTTCAAAATTGATTTGTAAATCAATGTGTGACATCAAATTTCAGTCATAAAGTTTCGGTTTTAAATCTTAAATTTTGGTTTTAGAACAGTGATTTGTTAATTGTTTGTGAGTTTGAAATTGCAGAATTCTCATGTCACAATTAAAAGTATCTCTTCCCATTGTAGGTTCAGCTTATTGTCAACCATAAGATCCCAAACAGCCCAAGCATCTACATCCATCGGGTTGGAAGGACAGCTCGCGCTGGCAGGTCAGGTCAAGCTGTGACCTTTGTGACCCCACACGAACTCAAGCTCCTCCTGGCTGTTGAAGGGAAGACAAAGAGAAAGATGTCTGAGGTCAAGGTAGGTCAAGAATGCAGTTGATTAAGTTTCTCTGTTTATTTACATTTTGTATTTGTCTTCACTGGTTATTTTTGTTTTTGCTTTATTCTGTTGATTTATTCATTCAATTGGTTTGCTTTAGTTTTTGATCTGTCCTGTGTTCATCATTCTTATGTATTTATTTTTCTTTTCTTTTCTTTTCATCATCATCATCAGTTGTCAGTAGCAGTAATTTTAGCAGTAGAAAACAAAATAGTTATATTCTGTGATGCTGATTTATGAGGAATATATCTTGTGTAATTTCTCATTCCATTGACAATCTATTTATCTCAATCACATATGACAGGTGGATGAAGCGATGGCACAGAGAATTATGAAGCAGGTTAATGTCACGAAAAGAGAACAGGAGATCAAGCTTGACGAAACAGACTTTGACGAGCGACGGAACATCAACAAACGCAAGCGGTTAATCATGGAAGGAAGGTGAAGATTTTGTTGTTTTGTCATTTTTGCTGTTTCTCGGGTTGATTTGAGAAACTTATTAGAAATATCTGATAATATCTTTATATATGTTTAGTCAAATATTGGAAATTGTGTGCCCTTGTGTTTTTCTGATTTGATTATAAATAATTCTAGTCCTACTCTTTACAACTCCTTCCATACAGAGATCCTGATGAAGAGGAGGAAAGGAAAAAGAAGCTGTTAAAGAAAAGACAACGAGTGATGAAGCAAGAGCGAGAAATAATGCTGCAGAGATTAGGCGTGAAAAAATCCAAAAAGAACGAAGGCCAGCAGGACAAGGGGGGCAAAGCTAAGCTTACTAGTCCTTCTAAAACACCAAATAGCATCAAGTCAAAGAATATGATAGATTCTAAGGGAAAGAAGATGAAAAAGAAGCGCAGCAAAATGAAAACTGGTGGTGGTTTCACAGTCTCAGATCTTTAGTAAATTATTATTTATAAACTTTCCTATTCATATGTTACATACTGTTATGTAAATACCTTATTGTTTGTTTGAGGATTATGTGTAACAATTGTTACTAGTAAAAAATAGTTATATGTAACTATGTATAAAACTAAAGAAAATAGAAATAGAAATTCATGATGATGTTTTATTTCTACTAAAACATTTAACTCTCAAGAACTCAAATTTTGTTGTAACTAAAAAGTATATTTCTCTTTGCCTTGTAAGAAGTACATTAAAAATTGTGAATATTTACATCCTATGTGGTCACTACATAATTGACTCATAGTATACTTTAATAGAGTATTAAACAGGTCAAGGTGTGCTAATTGTTCTCTTGATTTTTTTTCCATTTAATTTTATTCTATTGTGTATTTTTTCTTAATTAAAAGATAATAGTATGACAGGAATACCTTTACTGTTCCCATTTTTATTTGTATAACTGAATTGTATTTCGTTTTATGGAATATTAAGATGCAATTAACACTTTCAGAAAGGTGAGCTTGATTCCTGTTTACATTATATTTTCCCTTTATAGCATGCACATCCTGTATACAAATAGGTTAAAAAGAAAGATAAAAAAGGCAAAAGCAAACACAACCTTTATTAATATTCATTTATTTAAAATAACATCACAGCATACAACAAGATGGGGCCAACGGTAACAATGCATGATGCGTAAGGTGCATGAAGTGTGGGGGTTGGTCAGCTGGGACACCCAAAGTCTCCTTGGGTCGTCCCTTATTACATGTGACCACAGACATGGCTAGTTCATGGGCTTAAGACATTCCTCAGAACTTCAGGTCCTCGTTAAAAATTTCAGCTGCCCTTACATAACCTCAATGAAAAATGCAACCACTGGTTGGTAGATAAGAAATTTTGGCATATGTTTTGTTTCTCAAAGATTCCTGCTCCTGTTTATGGTATTCAGATGTTAGGAGTGGTGGTTGTAAGAAATGGCAATGAGATGGCTATGACAAGAGGGCCTGGAAGGTAGTACTGTGACCAAATGCCACAGGAGAAAGAAAGTATCACATTTGTTTCAACAAGAGGAAAAGACAGAAGATGTATGGGATATACAATAGTAAGGAAAGTCGAGAAAATACAAGCAAGAGAATGAAAAAGTCTTCCCTCTATGTAATGTGTCTCTCTGTAGAAGCTGTGAATGTAATGTATATATTATCCACACACAACTTTGAGGATGTATGTTCAGGTATGAGGTTAAGTAGCTGCAACTAATAACTCCACTTTAGCTGCATATTTTGGGGCACTGTGTGTGGATCTAAAAGGTTGTTTATTATTAAGCCGCTAAAACTTACTAGCACAGAACAATTCCCTTTACAATCTCTCATCAGTTGTCCCAAGTTCAAAGAACACTTTTTTTTTTTATCTAGTTTCCTTACAAAGCAAAAAGTTAAAATACTAAAGAATAATAAACCAGACAGTCCTAAATGAACAAGAACTTTTGTTCATAATATGTAATTTTCAGAATTGTTAATTTTCCACATTACACTACTGATTTTGTTGAGGATCAAATGAATACTTCCACTGACATCCTATTGTACATAATGCCATCTGTGACTTGAACCTGTCACCAGAAACAACAAATATTAAAAGATTCCTTATTAAACTTTTCCCATTCAAAAACTGCCTTGCCTTGGGCACACAAACATTTCCAAGGAGAAAAAGGCCCTTTCCTCATCTATTAAAATTATTTAATTAAAAAAATAATCTTGGTTCTCTCTGCATTATTTTTACTATCCCAGTTCAGTCCAGGGGTATTAATAATAGCATTTAACATTGGTGTCTGAAAAAACATTGTTTTATAAATATTGTTAAGTAATTTCAAGAAAAATGCCTTCTTGATTTTTATGCAGGCCTTTGCAGGCTACTCAAACGGCAGCATCCACACTGGTGCTGGTACATGAGCCATAGGCTGTCAGGTCTCACCAAATTTCCAGAAAATATCAGTATTACATTATTGTATCATTCCTTTCTTACAAAATAAATAAACATTTAAAAAGTGTGTTAATTTTTAATATATTCATTATGCTTTCCTCATATAAACTGATGTTACTGTGGAAGTTCAAATAATATTCTTGGATAATAAGTAAATAATATGGCACATATATGCAACCAGTCCCTGGCATACTGGAAAAAAAAGCTTGTCTAGCATATCAGATAGCTTGAGTAACACTGGTGTATAGTCACAGATATATCTGAAGACTTACAAACAATCACTTGCAAAAAGTAATTATTGTCATCATCTCCTGATCTAGTCCACTATGGCATACAAGACAAGTATTATTTTGGCATATACCAGTAAGCTATTATAAATTCCCACAGACAAAATGCTTTTAGTTTTACCTATGACCATATTAGGAAAAAATCCCTTTTAAAAGTTTATATACATATTTATGTTGGCATCTTTTGATCCTCCATTCCATGCATACTATTTCTTCCTGTCTATTTTCTTCTGTAGAGGTAATTACCATAATTATATCTTTTATAAAAAGGAACAAGCATTGTGACACATTAGTTTCAACCGGTGACATGCACGTATTATCAATGCTGAATCCTCATCTCCAGAACCAAGTAAATTTTGTTAAATGTGTCAGTTACTCACTCTAAAATCTATAACAATGTTATATCTAAATCTATGTTTATTCTTGCTTGGACTGTTCACTGGCCTTACTGCATATTTAATTCAAACAGGAGTTTCAAGTGGATTTCTAAAAAGAAAGATCTTTCCACAGGTTTAAAAAAGGGCCTTTAATAAGCCTTCATTCCTGTGCCAGAGAAACTAATTGCAGAAAACTGTTTTTATTGTATACTTTCATTCTATTTATAAAAAGTATTAAGTACATCTGATTTGTCTATAGTCTACTGCTTGCCTATGGATACTTTATAGAAAATTCTCTTAAATGTTTTAAAAGTCATTATATTAATAATTTATTATATTACTCTACATAATCCTTATTGGAAAACATTCTACATCACAATCTCCTTTATTTTATAGCAGTGTTGTAGCTTGTAACTATCCTGAACCTCTCCTCACTTTTGCACTACAAATGCTTAACTTGCCTCTATTAAATGTACAGATGATCCTTTCTTGTTTTGCTTTTTAAAAAAATTAATGACATTCCTTTCATACTAAATCACATTCTTTTCTAGCACGTAGACCCATAACTTTTTAAAGCAAAAACCATACTGGCTTCCTAAACATTCCTCCTCTGGTCTACATCAGTTAAGGCTTTAAACGACTAAGAAAAATATTTCTATAAATGGCCCATCACAAATTACAGTTTCATACTGTCACACATTGCATATAACTGTCTAGTTTAGTACTTACTAAGATATAGAATGAGGAAATTTGTTATCAAAAGTTCAAGACTTGTTAATGTCAACATTTCTGCTTTAATGTACATTCAGTGTGCTAAACACAGTCAAGACTAGCAAAAAGTTCTCCAGAATAACATTTCTTGACTTTAAAAACATAATAGTAGTTGAAAAGAGAAAAAGAAAAATCTCACTTCTTACACTATATACACTTGTATCACTTTATGTATCTTGTTAATTCTGGTCCACAATACTTCATTGTTTTTCCCTGATGCAAAAGAAAATGACTGCACTATACACTCATGGTTGATGTCACACGTTCCTAAGGGTCCCAAATGAACAGAACTAAAACGGATTCTGATTCACAACTCCAAGCACATGACAGTTGCCTGTCCCCACCCTCCTCCTCCCTCTAAAGATCACTATCACTGCCAAAATAGAGAAGAGAAATCACAACAAAATAAGGATATGCATTTGGAGTGACCGCTGCCCCAGCCTGCTTCTACTATTCACATAACATACCAGTAAAAACCATTATGGTTGTTTATAACATATTGCCTCTTGGACTGCTGGCTTCTGCAGAGGCTAGTAATAATAATTATAATATTTACAATGACAGCACATAGGGGCACTGGTAAGGCGTTGGTATGGTGGCTTGACAATGATCTACACCTGATTTTGAGGAATTTTCTATTGCAATGATTCAGCACTTCATAAATAAATGTTTTTTTTTCATAAACTCTCTCTTCTGTTCCATTTTTTGAGTCGTCAACACAGAATCTATCAAGCCATCTCTTCATATGTAAATAAAGAATTCAGGCAACACCACCTTTTCCTTGGATAAAACTTTGAGTACACATGAAATTCAGGTCTGAAAAATCATCATCATTCCACCATAGAACTCACACATTGTACAGCTAGGAGAGGCTCTTTTTTTATACTCTTCACCTACTATATACAGAGGCATCGTAGAATATGCGTAATTATATAAATGTTAAGTCCATGAGAAGTACGCAGAGTGCAGCTCCTGGCATGAGTGAGAGAGGGGGGAGAGAAGGGACCTAGTGGCATCTTGATATCTTGGATCTCACACACCACCTGACTCACATGGCTCATGCTGTCTGAACATCTTTGCATTAGAGGACACATCACTGACAAAGGCCTTGTATATTGATTCTCTATCACCAAAACTTTCAAAACTACATTCCTTTTATCCATCTGAAGATTTTCTGTTGGAAAAAACAATGGGGAGTATCTACTAAATATTCTGAAACTATTTTTCTCCGTCTAACTGCTCCTGAAAATAGGAAAGGTTGACTTGATACTTTATGAAGCATAGACCTTACACTGCATATCATCAGGAATGTGTTTGCAGCACAAGAACATCACATGTAATAAACAGACAATCAATTTGTTTACCTGGCAAGGCCACACAGAAAAAATGGATTAAGGATTTATTTTCCACTACCTGGAGATCTCTTCCTTGCATCCAGCTTGACATTACACTCATGTCTTATTCATTGTCACCATACATAACAAATGTTCCAAGATCCACTTAGTGAGATGCTAACCTCCAGATTTCATCAGAAAGAGCACAAAAGTCTTTCAAGCAAATCCCCATTCATTGCCAGCACATATCCAACAGCCTTGATTGGCTTCAGCGTATTGGCTACTTGCCTGCTCGCCCACTTCCCTCACACTCTGCCCTGCCAACATTACCATCATCCCTAGTGCCAAGGATAGTGTTCGAGCTCCTGCTGCCTCTTCCTCTTCCTCCTATCCCATTTGCCCATGCATGCCTGCGAGCCAAGGTGGTGCCATTTCTCTCTCTCCTTGGTTGACTAGGCCATGTAGATGAAGATATTGATGTTCTCATCATCGCGCTTCATGTATTTGTGTTCAATGAGCCATTCCAGCTGCTCTTTGATAAGCTTCTTGCTCGGAAGGAACATGTTCTTCAGCATCTCCACCAACTCCGTCTGCAGTTGGGCGTTGGAGATCCTCTTGCGCATCTTTAAGATCTTCACTATGGCTTCCTACAGGAGGACGAAAGAGAAGTCAGCAAGAAAAAGTATGCAGTACAGCAGTACTATATATCCATCACAAAAAATAATAATAATAAAAACCTGATATGCTTTTGGATGAGATGATGGCTATGTGTAGCTTATAGATAATAACAAACCAAATAATTCAACGCATAACAATTTCTATTCATAAATTCTTTAAAAATGAAGGAAAAAAAGGGAGGAAATGACACATTAACAAGACAAAAAACAAGCACATCCAAATGCTTATACCTGAGTTCGGAGTATTCTAAGCTGCACTATGCCCTCGTTGTCCTCCTCCTTGCTCTTCTCTGTGCTGAGCTGCAGACGCCCAATTAAGTTCACTTTGCCACGCTTCTGGGGTTTGCCATTTTTACTGAGGGATGGAAGAGGTAGTAAGGAAAACTACAACAGCAGGAAAAAATATTGAAAAAAAAAAAAATATAATAATAATAATCTAAATGTGAAAAGGAATATATATAATAATAATAACAATGTATAATCAAAAGACAATAAAAGTTCATTACAAAAATCATGTCCTTAAAACTAAATATTAGTAATATGATTCAACCATTAAAAAATTGTAAACATTAAAGCACATTTCTAATAGGATACTCACATGGGTGCAAATTCCTGGTTAACCCAAAAGAGGGTGTTTTCTGTGAAGTCCTTGGGTGATGAGACCTCTCCAGAGAAGGACAGGACTTGTCTCTTCATCTTTGGAAACGCTACCAGGGACTGTGGACAAAGAACATATTGCTTCATTTTACAATCTTTCTTTTAGATAATATAATATTTGACAATCTGTTGATTCATCATACATTCACTAATTCGCTCTCTCTTTCATGATGTGTAAGAGAGTGCATCTGTTCGGCAATAACTAACATCCACCTCCTTCCTTACTCACCCACAATGTCCGTCTCAACTCTGGATCTGGGAGTTCAGTCGCAAGACGAAGATTATCGAAGGAGATCTTATCATGTATTCGTTGGTTCCAGGCAAACATGACAGCCATCTGGAAGGTGGTTACATCCAAGTCGAACCTCCCCATATTATTGCAGAAGGTGATCTGTGGACAATATCATACTTTGAGTAGGGAGATGATGATGATCACAAAAACAAAATAATTCGGACTATAATCATTACCTAAAAGTATATTTAGCCCCGTGATAAATAAGAAATAACAAAGGTCATTATAACATAGAAATCAAAATAAGAACAAATGATATATATAACAACTTTCATAAAGTCTCTAATTAGACCACAATGTTTACATGTTACTTGACACTTCTAACAAAGATTTTCATCAAAGTTATGGCAAAAAGACTGGCCATGCTCAAGCATTAAGCTTACTGTGCCATTGGACATGTGGTGATGCCAAAGCAGCTTCCGTCCTGAGTGCTTCTTGCGATAGAAATCCTCCACCTCAGGGATGAAATCTTCTAACTCCATCGGTAAACTAACTGTGACTCTGTCGCTGCCTCTTGCCCATGCGCCAGCATTCAATATCTTAATGTTTAGATTATCTGTCAAAAGAGAGAAAAACTGGTTAACTAAGCCTGAAAGTGATATAAAAATATCAATGACAGTCAAAATAGAATTAATCTGACAAATGAATGAACAAATGTTTGACTATATGCATTACTGAAAATTAAAATCATTATGTACAACAACAATAAAAAAAAAAACCTTTGACAATGAAAATTATTTGTATTACTCATTTCTTCAACTGTCACATCACACACCCACATTGCTTTTACTTATTACCAAAGATTCAATGAGGGCAGCATGCCCATGAGACAAGGTGGTGCCATCTCTCAATCTCTCTTAGATTGACTAGACCATTATTTCAATAACTTAAAGTATAAGATTGAAGAAACTTAAAAACAACAATGATAGGTGAAATTAGCTAGGAACTTTGTTTTGCCTTGGGTATAATCATAATGCAGGCAGGGCTGTGTCACAACTCACAATTAATAATAAGGGTAGTCCTGGGTTTATGATAAAGTTTCATTCCTGAATCCATAACATTAAATAAAATAATGTAGAAGAAAACTTTTTCTATAAAGCCCAGTTTTCATGACTGAGTGAGTGCCTGTGGAAGAGAGTTCATGGAGACACTAAGCTGGGAGGGCAAGGGACCGGATCCCTTGTCCCTCCTCTTCTGTTGTACCTTTGTGAAAAACTTGTGAACCTTTTGAACTTGTTCCAGTCTGCATCACTGATGATGTCAAGTGCTGCATCCACATGGCATACAAGCTTGGCAGGTTGCTTTAGTCAGCTCTCTATGTTGTTCTTTTAACCGCTTCCTGACGGGTCACGCCGTGAGGCATCAAAACAAACCACTCCATCTGTGGCATGTGGCTGTACGCCAAAGCGCTACGAGCCGGTGATTCGGCTTCATGTACAGAACTCCCACACTCAAAGTCAGCACATTGCCATTGATCTCCAGAGCATAGAGTTTTTTCTTAATTTTCTTCACCCATTCAAGGGGTTAATTAACTTCATTAAATGCTTTTGCTTTCTGATGTATTGTCATCAGGCTCACTGAAACATGGCGATGGTTCTGATCTTTGATTTACTCAGTTAACATTTTCCCCTTCTTTCAATGTGCTGCAAGAATAATTTGCATAGTTTACACTGGTTGGGGAACCCAGGCTGACTTTCTTCTTTATCTTCTTGTTCGCCTGGACTGTATGCACAGTTTAGTGTGGCAAGTTGAGTGCTTGTATGACATCACTCTCTATAACATCACTCTCCAGACACTGTGTAGCACAGATAATATTACTCTTCCTTTTCTTCTTGCTGTCATCATCATTACCTGATGTCCTTCTGGGAGCCATTTGAGGTCAATATCCATAAATGGAGCAAAAATGTTAAAGCATGGGTGAGCGAGGACCCCAACAGAAGTGCAGTGTGGTACAGAATAGAGGAGGGAAGGATGGAGAAAGACACATTCAAAATCCTGAGACTTGCTCACTAATGCACCAAATCTTAGCTCAAAAATGCTGTTATTTTCAATCACTCAATCAATCAAATAAAAATAATGTTAAAGAGTAATACTGCAAACAAAGGCACTATAAAACAAGAATTCAACTGACTCAAAGTAACAGTAATTGCTTTGTCCTAACTTCTAGTCTTATCAATTCATAATTTCCTCACATGTCATTGATTTCACTAATACTGGCATATGTTATTGGAAAGTTTAATGATGGATTTTCTATTTTTGTTGAAATACTGGGTACCTCGTATGACATA